TAATACAAGTCCTCTTAGTCTTGTTTCTGTTTGTTTTGTGAAGGAAACTCTGTCACACTCATCCAGTGCGTGACTCCACCAAAGTTAAGTCTGATTAGAAAGTTGATATTTTCATCCTTCTTGAATCTGAACCAGGGTATTCTGTGAGTGGAAAGTGATAAGCAGTCTGTGGGAATTGTATGCAGCGTGGAAATAATTGCTATGCTTCCATTGTTGCCCCACTAATAAAAATGCAGGATAATATTTTCTTTTATTTTTTTAAGTTTCAAGATTATTATCTGGAAAAACATTTCTTCAGTCACTTTTCTCCCTCAAAATTCTCTTATAGATCCCTCCTCACACTTCTTCAAGTGCATGGCATTTTTTTACAAATTGTTGTTTAGGTGTCATTTAGGTGCTCACATACAAATGTGTGCTTGTATATTCCTATAAATAATGTCCAATCTGTATCATGCTACTCATGTAAAAATGGTATTTTAAGATAGATGCACTTGAAATAGGAGCCCAAGAATTTAGACAAATAGTAGCCTCTACATGACTTTCATGATGTCTAAAACCTTGTATTCTTAGCCATGTGTCTCTGGTGCTGGCAGAAGGTCTATGGATAGTGCTTATTAGAGGAGTAGAATGGAGTCACCTAACTCCTGTTTTCTGATTAGGTGAATTCTATGTCCCTCTATATAGACACCACTTCCACATCCTTTAGTTCAGTGGCTACAAGTGCAGACATTATCCATTGTTCATTGTTATTGTTGGTCCAGCTTTCAATCAGATACTATAGACTCATTGGGCATCAGCAACTAGACCAGGAAGGAGGAATGCAAGAGTTAAAAAATACTGAGGTTATAATCAAATGCAGTTGTCTATAGAAGAATGCTAATGTTTCTCATCTATGTGTATATGGGGGTGTGTGTGGAAAATTTTCCCCAACAGAAGTCCACCAACTTCAGCTTGCATACACATATCAGTACAACTCTCACAGGACTCCAATACTGTTCTATAAAATAGCTTAGAAATTATTTCTTAATATTCCCTGATACTTAGTAACTCAGAGAACAGATATTATTAGAATATTTCCAGAATCGCCATTTTTATTTAAATAATCTTGTGAGAAATCAAATTTTAATTGGACATGGGTCTGCACTTTTAGTAGGTTTTTCCCCCGGTGGAGGAAATGGAGACAAAACTCAGAGAAAACAGAGGAGAGAAGCAGCATGTGTCCTTGCAAATCACCTCAGTTGATAACTCTTGGAGGAGTGAGAGACAGTCAAAGATTTTGTGAAAGGGACTTAATGAGGGAAAGGAGGCTGAAGAGGAAGAGGAGGAAGAAGAGTAAATAGATTAGGGTGAGTAGACTGAAACAAGGAAAGGAAGGAAGGAGAGGGTGGTGAAGAGAGAATAGAATAGAAACAATTCATCTGTAACATACATCTCCTTCTTCCTCAATGAACAAATCCCCCAACTCAAGAGTCAGAGCAATTCCTTTCTTCTCTTTCACTTTTACTTTGTGATGTGTCCATACTAGGAACACATGATATCCTTAATATTTTAAACTTTGAAGACACATTTGGTTTCAATGATCATTAACCACTCAACATCTTATTAACTTTGGGAGCTCCTTTACCATAAAGTTGTAGAAAGAACTTTCACTTCCAAATCTCTTAATGATTTAACTCACCTTGATTGCAATAGTGAAGCCACTGAAGTGTCCTGTATGATTCTGGCTGAGGACTGTAGTTGAAAACTGTAAACATGTGGCTCTTGTGCACTTCATGTTTCATTATTTATGTTCTTATTCAATTGTGACATCAGGTTCAGCAAGGAGAATAAAGATAGAATCAATCCTTATACATACATGCCTTTTGGATATGGTCCTAGACAATGCATTGGCATGAGGTTTGCTCTCATTAACCTGAAGCTTGCAATTGTCAAAATCCTGCAGAACTTTTCCCTGTATCCTTGTGAAGAAACAGAGGTGAGGCAGAACATATTCTTTTTGTCATGTTTTTGGTTTACATTCATAGGTATTTTCAAAAATTTGTGTATATATATAACATATATATGAAATATATATGGAATGTAATGATTTATCTTTAATTAATGATTTCTCTGTCAAAAGATCTATATAAAGCCATGCTTGAGTCCTAGGGCCCTTGACTTCTGGAACATTTAGTCTGTGTCTAAGCATATAT